AGGGACTAACAGTGTAACACTCTGGATACTTAAGGAATGTTGACTCCTGATCCAAGCTTACTCACCTCCCTACCTTTTCTCATTATTTCCTTATCCTGTCCACCTGTAAGCCCAACCCCAAATGGTAAATAACCATTCTTTACAACACTTTGTACTATTCCTATGGTGCTTATTACGTTGTTTTGAATACTAAATGAATATGTAGCTTTTTTACAACATTTAGGACATAACAACCACTGAGTAAATATTAACTATTATATTACTATTATAGTTTTTTTAAAAAAATAATTTTGTAAGTTCCTTTAGGGCAGAACTATGCCGTAATTTTTGGTTTCATTTTACAGTGCCTGTAAAGCACAATGGCAAAGGTAGAACTCCAAATAAGAATTGTGCTAAGGACCTCACTCCCACCCCCTAAAGCCTATTCCTTTCAAAGCCTATTCTCAAAGCCCTGAGAGATAGAGGTTCCGCAGGTGTGGAAAGCCAAACACTAAGTAATCACACAACAGGGCGGTGAAAGCCTCATCTCCCAGTTTTTTATTCATTCAAGACAGAGCCAACCCCTGAAGCAACAGATACACGCGCATGCCTGTTTAGGGGAGCCTGGAGCACCCAACCTGGGGTCGGCGGGAGCAGGCGGAACCTTCGTCCTCAGCTCCACGTTTCTCGCGACTCCGCTCATATAGCTACACTACCAAATAGACGGCCCCCTTCCCCCTACCCCCATTGGCCTATCCCGACGACGGGTTCCGGAGTATTGAACTACTCAAGTCAACGAAGCGATTAACAGACACCCTAATAACTGAAGGCAGTTTCTCCAAGCAGCGTCCCCACAGCGAGACCCCACAAGTTCCCTGTAGGGGAGGGCGTCCGAGGTAGGACGACCGAGACCTCCCCTACCGGCGCTGAGCAGGCCCAACCGAGTGCCGCGCCGCAGACGCGCACGCCGCCCGCGCGCACGGCGCCCCGCCCCCGGCGGCCCCTCGCCAGCCGAGCGCCGCGCCTCTCCCACACCCTGGCGCGCTTCCTCTGCACCTCGGCGCCGTTGGAGGGTCCCCGGGCGACCCCGAGGGCACTGTTAGGCAGAAGGAAGCCCGAGGAGACCCGGTGAACTGGGCAGAGCAGCAGAGGGTAGCAGAGCCTGCCCTGCACGCTCAAGGAGTAGAAGTGGGCGGGAGGCAGAGTTACGCGAGAGCGCGTGGAGTGAGCGAGCTCGGGTCCCACTTGAGCTCGGGCTCAGGACCCAGACAGGTCGGCCAGGGCCCCAAGCCGTCGTTACACCCAATATAAGGAGGACAGACCTGACTCAGACCGAGCAAGGAGACATGGCCTCACCATTCCTGCCTGCGGGGGCCACCACAGGCGACAGCGGTGGGGAGCTGAGCTCAGAGGATGACTCCTGTGATGTGGAATCCCCCCATAGCCCTGAGACCGAGGAGTCCAGGAGCCTGACGGAACTGTTTGAGAAAGCTGCCGCGCACCTCCAGGGCCTGATTCAGGTGGCCAGCCGGGAGCAGCTCTTGTACCTGTATGCCAGGTACAAACAGGTAAAGTGGCAGGGAGGGGGTGGATGTAGGAGAAAGACATCCGACCTCCAAAACCTGATAGCAAACATGTATGGTTAATGGCTAGGTGTAATGACGTTTGTGTATGTGTGTTTTGTTTTGTTTTTGGATCATCTGCTGGGGATTAGCATCATTCTGGACGTGGAAAAGATCCGTCTGCTATCCTAGAAGTGATAGTTATTTAGCTGGACACTGAATGACAGTTTTTCTGTGTCTTCTCCGACATACTCAATGCACTTCACTAGCCTGCTAAACCTTTACAAAATGAGGATAAGATTTATCATTCATTTACTCTTATCAAAGGGCCATATGGAAGTAAATATGGTAATATTAATACAAATATTTTTAGATCCAAGAGAATAATATGATTGTAATAGATAAGATGATGCAATACAAAATACAGTATTACCACTTTTATTATTGTGATTTTTTTTAAACCCTAAATATCTTTGATTATGTTGTGGTTGAATATATTCCTGTTGGTTCAATACAATCATAAAAATTTTAGAGCTACTAAACACCAGATGAAATAATCCTCTTCTTTTACGGATAAAGGAAACCGAAGCCCAAAGAGTAGGCA